CACTTCTGAGGGCTGGGAAGTTTAAGAACAAGGCGCCAGCATGTTCTGTGTCTGGTTCCACTCTTCTTTCAAGATGGCGCTTTGAATGCTGAGTCCTCCAGAAGGGACAAATGCCATGTCCTCTCTTGGCAGAAGGGACAGAAGGGCAAAAAGACTAGCTAGCTCCCTCCGATTTCTTTTACAAGGCACTAATCCCATCTATGAGGATGGAGCATAATTTATAAGCAATGGTGCTTACAAATGCACCGCCAGCACTTGAAAAGTGAATTCCCCACGATTCTGCTTTATTTCTAAATTGTACTTCTTATTTTGTTAAAATCTTTGTCCTTTTCTTGTCTCCACTCAGTCTCTGATAGACCGTGTTGTGCTTAAATCTCCTACTTGCTGTCTCTGTCCATTTATTACTGCATGTCTCATGTTTCTGTTGTACATATTTTGTTGTGATGTGTTCTGGGTTGAACTGTGTCCCTGTCAAATTCAGGCTGTAGCCCTTGGTACTTTAGAACATGACTTTATTTGGAAGTAGGGTGTTTACAGAGGTAATCAAGTTAAAAGGGGGTCATTAGTGAACCCTAATAAAATATGACTGGTATATTTAGAAAAAAGGCAAGTTTGGAGTCGGACACTCATACAGGAAGAACGCCACGTGAACATGATGACATGTTTTATTTTACTTCATTTTTTGAGATAGGGTCTCGCTCTGTTGCCCAGGCGAGAGTGCAGTGACGTGATCTTGGCTTGCTGCAACCTCTGCCTCCCAGGCTCAAGCAACTCTCCCACCTCAGCTTCCCAAGTAGCTGGAACTACAGGCATGCACCACCACACCAAGCTCATTTTTATATTTTTGTAGAGATGGGGGGTTTTGCCATGTTGCTCAGGCTGGTCTCAAACTCCTGGGCTCAAGGGATTCTCCTGCTTCGACCTCCCAAAGTGCTGGAATTGCAGGTGTGAGCCACTGTGCCCAGCCACGAAGACACATTTTTAAAAGACAGTGTGAGGAGACATAAAAAGAGGGCCACCTAAAAGCCAAGGAGAGAGGTTGGAACAGATTCTTCCCTCACCGTGTTCAGAACAACCCTGCTGACATCTTTCTTTTGAACTTGCAGCCTCCAGAAGTGTAAGAGAATACATTTCTGTTGTTGAAGCCACCCAGTTTGTAGTACTTTGTTGTGGCAACCCTAGCAAACTAAAACATTATGCCGTTCTGCAATAGTTTGAATAGTCTATCTTCACCATGAGTTGATACAATGGCCCCCATTCCTTTCTTTAAGATTGCCTTTACTGTGCTGGATTTTCCCATTTGATTGGCAATCTTTTATCCAGTGTTTTGATTAAGATCACGAACCCCCTGTTGTTATGCACCTAGGTATTTGTGGTGTGCACGTACGTAGCACATTGATCAGCAATTGCCTGTATGAACTCTGGAGTCAGAATTGGTGGCTACCACTTAGTTGCTATATGACTTTGGGCAAATACATTAATCTTTCTGTGCCTGTCTTCCCTTTTGTAAGGTGAGGAAATAGTAATTATTCCTATCATAAGATTGTCTTGAGGGTTATTATGAGGGTTATTACAAAACTAGCGTAACAGGATTGTTGAGGTTGGGTTGCCAAAAAACAGACTATGAGATGGAGATTCAGCGTACAGGAAGATTATTGGAGAGGTGCTCTCAGGATCAACAGGCACACAGGGTTTGGGTGTAGGAAGCAGGATTCAATGGGGAATGTAGTGGTTTAAAACATGTCCTCAAATTCTTTGACCCTCCCTTACAAAGATAGAGCTAAATTCCCCTTTCCAAGTGTAGGCTGGATTTAGTGACTGTCTTCTAATGAAGAGAAGAAAAGTAGAGGTGCTTCAGAGACTTGGCCACACAGGGCATTGCAGCTCCCTACTTGCACTCTCTCTTGATTGGCAGGTCTGGGAGAAGTTAGCTGCCATATTGTGAGGCTTCTCAAGCAGCCAGTGGCATGGAAGTGAGTGCTCCCAACCTCAGCCACGTGAGGGAGCCATCTTGGAAGTGGATCTTCCAGCCCACAGCAGGTCTTCAGAGGACGGCAAGAACCCGAGGCCTTGAACCAGAACCTCCCAGGGAAGCTGCTCCTGAGTTCCCAACTCACAGACATAATGTTTGTTGTTTAAAACTACTACATATTGGGGTAATCTGCTACACATCAGTATTTAACAAATACTGGGAGTTTTGGATCTGGAATGGTCCTTCAGAGTTGTCCCAAACTGGGACAAGGAAGAGGCCTGTATATCCTAAATGTATTAATCATCAGGTGTGGGCTGCCCCCAAGAAGGGGCAATGACCTTCGGCAAGGCCGTTTTCTTCATTAAGGGCTAGTTCTGAAGAGTGACTTAGCTGAGAGCTGCTGAGACCAATACTCCTAGGAGTGTAGGGAACGTGTTTGTCGTTTAGTCCTGAAGGAAGAGTCTGGGCAGAGAATCATAGTACCCGCTGAAGGATGTTTAGTGGGACATCTCCAGTTGTCCTAGGATTGGCACTAGGCTCACAATGGAAAACAACAGGCATAGTATTCCATCCCCTAACGAAAGATGCCTATAATTGGGGCCACGTCCCCCAGGGTTTAATGAAAAGCTGCTGATCCAGCCCCGCTTCCACCAAATACTTCCCCAGTCCTCTCCTTCTCAATCTGTACAGGAAGGAATGAAAGGAGGCAGTCGGGTTTGTGGAGAACAGTGTTTCTGGTGGGAAGTGATGCAGCTGGGGAGGCTGTAGGACAATTTCTCCTAGGTAGCAGGGGGCCTACTGGAAGGAGAGTCTGAGATTCTATTTGTTGCCTGCAGATCTGGTTCTCCAGCACTCTTGCTGATTTACCTGTCTGTATTGCCAGAGGGAATGAGAAAATTGAAAAGGGATAAGAGGGGAGAGAGGAGCAGCCACAGGTGGTCTTCAGTCCAGCCCTTTTGTGTAGCAAGGATATATATTTCTATGGGTCAAAGCCTTTCTATGTGGAAGATAAATGGTCCTGAGCAATCTTGCTGGGTCTTGCCTGAGAGACTGAATGTACTGCTGGGTGTTGACAGGGGGGCGATAGAAAAGATCAAGCTGGGGACAGATCTCATATTGAACTGTGTGGCAGGAGAAGGCCCCACCCAACCTCCCCATCTGTACCCCACGTAATTTTAAATGAGACAGTTATGCAGAGAAGCAGGAATCGACTAAGAAAATTCATCAGTGGCCGGTTAAGAGATATGTGTCTCATTTTCTCTTCTCTACCTTATCTCAACAGAGAAACCAGGCCTTGCAGAGGAACGTTGAGAAGTGCAGTGCCGGAACCATGCCTAGCACCTTTCCACTTACACTACGGATTAGGGTCCCACTTGGGACACGAGATCACATTTGGACAAGGTCTGATTTTTGGTAACTCAAATGGACCAGAAAGTTAACGTATCATATAAGGTGTGAGTGAGGGATAGAAAACATTTAAAAGGATAGCGATTGGAGGCTGGGCGCAGTGGCTCACCCCTGTAGTCCCAGGCCAAGGTGGGCGGATCACGAGGTCAGGGGTTCGAGACCAGCCTGGCCAACATGGCAAAACGCCATCTGTATTAGTACAAAAATTAGCCAGTGGTGGTGGCGCGTGACTGTAGTCCCAGCTGCTCGGGAGGCTGAGGCAGGAGAATCTTTTGAACTCAGGAGGCGGAAGTTGCAGTGAGCCGAGATCTTACCACTGCACTCCAGCCTGTGGGACAGAGCAAGACTCCGTCTCAAAAAACAAACAAAAAAACAAGTATACAACGTGGACACATGTGTTTCTTTTCCTGTTTCTCTGCAGTGTCTACTGAGATTGCGTTTTTTGCCATTTGAAAATGATGGTTGAGTCTAGCGGAAAGGGATCCACTTCTTGAATTCAAATAGACTAGACTGATTTTCAAGTCCCTAATGAATTGTTCTAAAATCGCTGAGTTTGAGTTGCCAGGAAAACATTCAAGACAAAGACCAAAGCCCCGAGGGCAGAGATGAGCTGCAAACCAAGACCTGAGTATTTGAATATACCATTTATTAACCTTCAAAAACAATTGTAGCTGAAGTGCCATCACTGCTGGCCTGTAAAACGCTTTAAATTCTCAAGAGGGAGGCATTCGTGATACTAATTCTTGCAATCGTTTTACAGAGAATTTCTGATGTCATCCCAAAAGTAATGCACTTTTGAAAACAGTGATCAGAATCAAAGAATTTAAACAAAAAGCAAAGAACGTAAACAAAAAGCACTTTCGCCGCATTAAATAATTTGCCAAAATGAAATCTGACCTTCTGCTTATTGGCAAAATCCTCATTTAGAACATTTACCAGAGATTTTAACTCAATAAACGAAGTGTGTGAACAGTGCACTGCCGGCCCTGCCTGAAGGCAGTAACGCCCCCACCCCCACAAGCTATATCTGGGGTCAGCTGCTGCTGGGAATAAAAAGAAAAGGCAGTTTCACTTAAGCTTCGTCTTTCATTCGCAACCAATCTCCGAGCCCCAGAACCTGTGGGCCGTGCCTTTCCACGCTCTGGCGCGGGATGCAGGGATCTGAATATTTAACACCTGGTTCCAGGACACGGGCCTGGGGAGCACCCACAATCCCTCGCGGCCCGCGGAGCCGGGCTGCCGGATGACCCAGTGCCGCGGCTCGGAGCGGAGCGAGGGCACCCAGCGCTTCCCGAGAGCTTGGCCCGAGGCCCGGTGGGCGCGGGGACGCGGGCGGGGGCGGGGTAGCCGAGCCGCCCGCCAATCAGCGCTTTGCTGGCCGAGAGCGCAGCGGCCGCGCCCCTGAGGGTGACCGGAACCGTTCTCGCGGGAAGAAGGGCAGGGAGCGGCGCCCGGCAGCGGACGGAAAAGGGGGCGCTGGCTTCTCAGAACCCTAGGGAGAAAGTAGGGAAGGGCTAGAGTTGAGGAAATTAAGGACATTTGAGGAGGACAGGCATTCCCAAGTTATAACCTCCTGAAAGACAACTCCATAGTGCGACCTCCCTGCCCCGCACAGCCTGACGGGAGCCTCAACCCTCCAGGGCTGCCTGCGCCCGGGAGAAGGCCTCGGTCCCGTCCACGGCCGCGAAGCACGCCGGGAAAGCCGAGTTCCTCCCTCCCTACGCTAACCTAGACAGAAAAAGAGCATTTCCGGCGTAAGACTGTCTCTACGGAAAAGGTGGGGCTAGTCTGATCCCGCCTTTCACGCCTGGAGGGGGCGGGACGAAGGGTGACAGCCTTTCTGCCCGCGCTCAGGCCTGCTCCCGCGCCGGAAGGAGGGAGCCGTGGGGCGATAGCCTTTCGGAGCCGAGGAGTCTGTGGGACACAAGTTGCGAGGTCACGTGACCCGCTGTCTGCGGAGAGGGAAGGGGCGGGGCCCGGCCGGAGGGGCGGGGCGCCCCTCGTTCTCCCGGGGTCACGCGCGGCCGGAAGTTGCGGTTGCTACGGAGAATTGAAGATGGGGACGGCCCTGGACATCAAGATTAAAAGAGCGAATAAAGTTTATCACGCCGGAGTAAGTGGGGGCTGGGGTGGGGTAGGGGTGGAGGTGGGGTTGGGCGGGTCTGCAGGTTCCCCTGTCTCCATTGCCCTGCGCACGTCCCGCGTCTCTGGGCGGGGCAGGGCCGTGCCGCCAGGTGTGTCTCTGCCAGGTGGGTGCGTCCCCGGCAGGTGCGTGCGTCCCCGGCAGGTGCGTGCGTCCCCGGCAGGTGCTTCCCGTTTGCCCTGCCATGTGCCCCGAGGGAGGCGCCGCCGCCGCCGCATCTGCGGGACGTGCGGGGCAGGCAGTGGGCATCGGGGCTGCGGCTCTGCCAGTCTGGCCCCTTGCACACCCAGCGGTGGGCATTGGGCCCTCAGGCTTGAACTGCCGCCGTGAGCGCTGAGGGCAGAGTTGACGCCCAGACTCCCCTTTCCTTCTCTCCTAATGAAGATCTAATGAACGAAAGCTAAAACTAACCTTGGAAGCAGAAATATGTACATCTGGCGGCAGCATATATTAGGTGGCAATCACTTTTAACAAAATACTATGACAGTTACTCCTTTTTCTGTTAAAGTAAAATCTCGACTATGCCATTAACAAGTTTTGTGACATTGGCCAGTCAGTCATTTAACTTCCTTGGGCCAAAGTGTCCTTATTTGCAAATGAGAGTGTTGTAAGGTTCCTCTGACTCGGGGAATCTCAACCCTTTACCTCAGAATCAGTCACCTGGGGAATTTTAAAATATAGTTGTTCGGGCTCTACTCCCAGCTATACCGGTGATACATGTGCAGCTAGGGTTGAAATCACAGCTAGCTCCAACACTCTTTCTAATAAAATTGATAGTGGTTGGTCATATTAATGCAAAGTAATATCAGAAGGGACAGAATACCAGACAAAAGTCTTGGATGGATGCTAAAACTTTTGGGCAAAAGACAACTAGGGAAGCCTGGTATTTACACAAGCTCAAATGGTCATTCCCTTGATGGTTAATTACAAAGGGGAAAAGCAGGCTGGGCGCAGTGGCTCACACCTGTATTCCAAGCACTTTGGGAGGCCAAGGTGGGCAGATCACCTGAGGTCAGGAGTTCGAGACCAGCCTGGCCAACATGGCAAAACTCTTCTCTATTGAAAATACAAAAATAAGCTGGGTGTGGTGGTGGACGTGTGTAATCCCAGCTACCCGGGAGGCTGAGGCAGGAAAATAGCTGGAACCCGGGAGGTTGCAGTGAGCCGAGATTGCGCTTCTGCACTCCAGCCTGGGTGACAGAGCGAGACCCCATCTCAGAAAAAAAGAGGAAAAAGCTACCTTTATAATGGAGTCACACTGTAACCAAGCACAACAATGAACACCACTTTACCATCACAACTATTGAGACTAACATTCGACACCCCTTGGCCTGATGAACTGAGAGTGTCACAACTCACCTATGTCGTATTCCTGCCAAAAATGTTTAATCCAATCAGTTAATAAGGAAACAATCAGGCATATCCAAATAGAGGGACATTCTGTGAGACAAGTAGCCTGGATCAATGTCAAAAAAAAAAAAAAAAAAAAGGCAAGATAATTTTTTTAGACTAAAAGACTAAAGGGACATAAGAACCAAATAGAATGCTTAATTTCTGATAAAATATTAATTTGAATATGGACTATAATCATTGTGTATTAGTGTTGGATTTCTCCAGTGTAATATTTATATTTTGGTTATGTAGGAGAATATTCCACATGCTGGAGTATTTTGGATCAAAGTGTCTAGCCATAAACTGTGCGCACATATATTCATGCATGTGTGTGTATGGGAGAAAGAAAGTGAATGTGGCAACATATTAACAATTGCTGAATGAAGTTAAAAGCTACATGGGCCGGGCGCGGTGGCTCAAGCCTGTAATCCCAGCACTTTGGGAGGCCGAGGCGGGTGGATCACGAGGTCAAGAGATCGAGACCATCCTGGTCAACACGGTGAAACCCCGTCTCTACTAAAAATACAAAAAGTTAGCTGGGCATGGTGGTGCGTGCCTGTAATCCCAGCTACTCGGGAGGCTGAGGCAGGAGAATTGCCTGAACCCAGGAGGCGGAGGTTGCGGCGAGCCGAGATCGCGCCATTGCGCTCCAGCCTGGGTAACAAGAGCGAAACTCCGTCTCAAAAAAAAAAAAAAAAAAAAAAGCTACATGGGTCTGTTTTGTATTCTTTTTAAAAAATAACAGCTTTATAGAGATAATTTAAAATAAAAAATTTACCCTTTAAAAGTATACAATTCAGTAGTTTTTTAGTGTATTTGCAGAGTTGCACATTCATCACCATGATCTAATTTTAGAACATTTTCATCACCCGGAAAAGAAACCCTGAACCCATTAGCTGTCACTCCTCATTCCCTCTCCTTCCTGACCCCTGGCAATCACAAATCGACTTTGTCTCTGGAGTTGCCTATTCTTGACATTTCCTATAAATGAAATCTTACAATATGTGGCCCTTTTGACTGACAGGCTTCTTTTACTTCGAGTTATGTTCGGTGTTCATGCTTGTCACAGCATGTGTCAGTTTCTCATTCCTTTTATGGTTGAATAATATTCTATTGTATAGATAGACCATATTTTGTTTAACCATTCATCTCTTGATGAACATTGGAGTTATTTCTACCTTTTTGCTATTAATAATGTTACGAACTTTCTAGTACAAGTTATTTTTTTTTGAGACGGAGTCTTGCTCTATTGCCAGATTGGAGTGCAGTGGTGTTATCTTGGCTCACTGCAACCTTTGCCGCCCGGGTTCAAGTGAATTCCCTGCCTCAGCTTCCTGAGTAGCTGGGACTACAGGTGCGCGCCACCATGCTCGGCTAATTTTTTGTATTATAGTAGAGACAGGTTTTACCATGTTGGCCAGGATTGTCGTGATCTGCTGATGTTGCGATCCGCCCACCTCAGCCTCCCAAAGTACTGGGATTACAGGTGTGAGCCACAGTTTTTATGTGAGAGTATGTTTTCATTTCTCTTGGGTATGTACCTAGGAGTAGATTTTCCTCAGCTACTTGAACTTTTTGAAGAGCTGCCAAATTATTTTCCAAAGTGTCTGCACCACTTCACAGTCTACCAGCACTGTATGGGGGTTCCAATTTCTCTACTGCTTTATATTCTTGTAACTGTTCTGGAGCTTGGAAATGTTTCAAGATAAGAATGGGAGGGCAGTGACAGGAAACTATGTGCATTTAACTTTAGCATTCATTATTTCATCAACAAGTTAGCACATTCTCTTCAGAAATATTACTCCAGCTGGGATGCTGAGATATTTTCTGTGGTTTAAAGTATGATTAATGAAAAGTACATTAGAAAAGGTAATAAAAAGTACATTAGAAAAGATGCAAGCAATGGAATGGTAAAGTTGCCCCAGCAGAAGTCATACATAGCCAGGACCACTTCCTGTGGGTGGCAAAGTTTAAGATGAAGTCGGCTCTGTCCCGCTAGTTTACATCTCCTGGTGCAAGTATCAGGAACAGAATCTGCAGTTGATGGCTTAAGGCAGCTTCTTTCAACCTTCAGTCACTTTTTACACTTACATGCATTTTAAAAGGAAACCTTATATGGTGAATATAAAAGAAAAACCAGTATAACTTGTAAATAGATGGTTGCTATATTTTTTAAACAGGCAAACAGAAAAGAGAAAGTTATTAAACTAATTAATCAATTGACAAAAATCTCGGACGTGTGTGCCCATGACTCATGCAGTAGACTCCATGATCTGTGATTCAGGGTAGGTGAAGTAGGCAGCCAGCACTGTCATGGCTGCTTTCCAAGCCCCACATAGCAGGACCCTTGCTGCCTGTTCCTCAAGGAGGCCTCATTGACTGCAGACAGTGCCTGTGTCACGTCTAGTTTGCATTATGGTTATGGGAGAAGCGGCCCTTCTCTCCTACCCTCCTCACCCCCAGCTGGCTGCAAGTGGAGGTGATAGCATACACATTTTCTGTTTTCTCTCCACATCTCAGTGTGACAGTAAAGATTCAGTTACCAAAGATTTGACTTATCTATGGGCCTGCCAGAGCACTGTGCCTACAATTCTCATGGGTTGCTTGAGGTGGCTGCCACTCACTTTAGCCTGATCCTAAGCAGTAATGTCCCAGGCTTGAGGTCATAAGTGATTGTCTTTCAAGTGAAACGTGTTTGTCAGTGTAAGCACATAAAGCAAGCTTATAAAGTTCCAGCAGAGGTTCTGGGGTAGGGTTTGACAGCCAGGCAGTATCACTCTCATTTTTCTAATGAGGAAATGAAGGCTTAGACATGTTGAAAATTTCATAACCCAGCTAGACAAATTGAAGAATTTCACCACCCAACTAATGACAAGAGTGTGGACGCCAACTCAGATCAGTTCCAGTTCAAAGCACGTCCATTGAACACTATTATTCTGTCTTCCTGGGAGTGGCCATTTTTATGCAAAATACAGGAGATTGTAATATAGAAATTCATTTTCTAGGAGTGCTCTGAATAACATTGTGATATTTTAATGAAAAAAGACTGATATGACTTCTACTTTGAATATGTGCCGATTCTGTTATTGTGCTTTTCAGTATCTTAGTTGTGGAAGCATTTGAAAATGGCTTGATTCTGTGGACACCAGAGAAACCTAAGTTATACTTGGGTTTAAAATTGACTTTCTTTTTTCTTTTTTTTTTTTGAGTAAAAGTGCTCATTGAGAAAATTATTTTTAAAAAATTAGGCTGGGTACAGTGGTTCATGCCTGTAATCCCAGCAGTTTGGGAGGCTAAGGCAGGTGGATCACCTGAGGTTGGGAGTTCAAGACCTGCCTGTCCAATATGGAGAAACCCCATCTTTCCTAAAAATACAAAATTAGCTGGGTATAGTGGTGCATGCCTGTAATCCCAGCTACTTGGGAGGCTAACGCGGGAGAATTGCTGGAACAGGGAGGCGGAGGTTGTGGTGAGCCGAGATTGCACCATTGCACTCCAGCCTGGGCAACAGGAGTGGAAGTCCATCTCAAAAAAAAAAAAAAAAAAAGACAGTTGAAGCATTTAAAAAATATAAACAT